ATTTAAGAAAAAATAGGTTATGTTTATATATTAAATATATTTATATATAATATAAATTATATGAATATAATTATATACATGTAAATATTTTTTAAATATATACTGTATGTGTGTGTGTCTTTATATATACATAATAAATATACACAGTACACACACATATATTATGTACACAAAAACTTTTATTTTGGATGCGATTAATCACGATGAATCGTTGCCCAGCACTAATATATATATATATATATAAACAATATTTTAGGATTTTTTATTTATTTAAAATGTATCGTTTTAGGATTTTATACTCATTTTTGAATTTTATAATTATTAGCTCTTTTCTATAATTTCAGCTTTTCCACTTTTTGTTGGGACCATTGTATATGTTTTGGCCAATATGTTTTTTTAATAACTCAGTACAAAAATATTCATTTGATGATATGATTTATGTATTTTTGAGTGGATCACACAGGTCACAAAAGGGCAGCAAAAGTTCTAGACTGTGCTGCTGTCCGTAGCAAAGTGAACTCAAGCGGTCCCTAATGGCCCTGCAGTCTCGCTGTCATTGGCACTCAACTCGGAGAGCTTGTGCTAAGGAAATGTGTCACCAAATGTCTCACATTCTTGGTATCAGTTAGTGGCAGAATCTGATCTTTGGTTACCTCTGCCTGGGGTAGGGGACAGAGGTACAGGCTCAGCAGCGGGCCCCTCTAGCACAACCACCTCCCCCTCTTCACTTGCTGTTTTAACATCACAGCCCTGCTCTTTATCCATCTGAGCCCTTACCATCCAACAACTGTGCCTGACAGAGCACTGTTTATTTAGCCAGGCCGAAACATTGAACGCCCTCCCCGATGGACTGCCTTCTCCTGTTTGTGTGATGAGTGTAGGATGTGTTCATTTTAATTAGAGCTTATCATCTGCACACTGTCTACATATGTCGTCTATACACAAAAGGGTAGAAACAATAATTGGAAAGTTTTTTCTCCTGGTGATTATGTTGTCAAAAGAAGCTGACACTCAATTTAATAACATAGTTTTCTGCGATATGTCATTTGAACCGCAGTATAAGCCAGGCTCAGACATTCCTCATGGGATCTGATAGTGGCACGGACTGTTCTGTTAAGTATGCATGTCTGCGGTAACAGCTCCTCCTCTCAGAGACCAACACGAGGACAGCACAACAAAAATATTCTTATCTAAATGTAGCTTTCTTGTAGTGTTCTAGCTGGTTGCTAGGGCATTGATAGAATACTTTTGACATTGATTTCAATAAGATAATAAACTGGGGTTTGTGAAGGAACTGCAGGTCTTTCATGAGTTTAATGAAAAGCTAATAATAAAAAAAAAAAAGTAAAAAAAAAATAAATAAACATTCGTTTTAAATGTAAAAGATGAAAAATAAGAATTAGGGAAAACCAATAAATTATGAATAATTGATTGCTATTGTGTGAATAATATGTAATCATGTAATCAATAAAAAAGTAACTGTAGTCCGCTTACAAGTATTTTAAAATGTAATATAATCTAATTACAAGTTCTTAATTTTTGGAATCTGATTACGTAATCCCATTAGGCCACTACCCAGCAATCTATAAAGACGGACTGATAGATAGATAGATAGATAGATGGATAGATAGATACTCGTAAGAAAGCCTATTTTCCATATTTTAGAATAATAACCCTGCTGAGCCTAATCTGGTTTAAGATGGTCTCTCAGACTGGCAAACTGGTTTGTTTATATGCTACTTATTATATTGTACTGTATTATACATTGGGCGTTTTAGCATATTTATTCATTTAATAGAAACGCAATTATTTTGTTAAAAATAAGTAAAATTAGAAACTCTTGTTTTTCAGACGCAAATTCAGGAACTTGAATGAAAACGGTCTCTGTGTCTAAAGTAAAAAACGGATGTGGCTCTCAAAACGGAGAACAGAGTGAAATTCCGTGCACTTTTTATCCTCCTCTGGTGGTTGACCCGAGCTCAATGCGAGGGTTTAACCCATCCTCTACACCTCCCTGGTCCGAGCAGTGATTCATGCCTTTTTCCCCGATAATTTCGGCACGTCACTGAGTCCTTCCGACAAAGTTGGGAAACAGCGGAGCGTCCGTGGAAGCGAGCGGACACACGAGAGCCGCGTCTGGAAGGTAAGCTCAGCCTGTTCCCTTCTCTATAGAAGCGATTTTGTAGTATATATATGAGCTTTACTTAGAGTCATTGACGTGGTCGGGCTAAGAGAGGTTTCCGAATGAGTGATAAACGCGAGAAACTTGTTCATTGAATCAAAATAACTTCCGCTTCCTGCATGATAACGTTCGCGCCGCATAAAATCATTGTAGAGGAGAACAGCAAACATGTTTGTACCGTTATACAAACACATAGACTAGTGTTGTTTGCATGAGGTTTAATTTAGCTTGTTTTTATTGCTGTAGAAACGGACAGCTGGTTTGCTTATTGGGAAGTTTAACGTTAAAAGCTTGACTCATTTAAACTCTCAAACTTTTTGTAGTCTATTCTGCGTTTCCATTATATTTGTATGGGGAGCCAACTGCCAGGATGGCATCGACTGTTTAACAATTAGAGTCAATTTCTTTTTTTTTTTTCAACTGAAGCATTTCTAAAGCTGTAAACATTTGGTGAAACCCCCGCTGTTTTGACACATGGCTGTGGGGGAGGTAAATACTTAAGTATTTTGAGACTTTGTTTAGTCTCTGCTTCATGTTTTGGCTGTCTCAGAAAATAGCGAGCTGCCTGCCTAGACAGCGTTTTAGGGCGTCATAGGCATATTTCGGTGTATTAAAGAGCGTTTCAAGCTCTAAACGATCATCTCTTTTATAGTCTCGCGTTTAAGTTCCTAAAATCGGTCCGAGAGATTCTGAACGAACAGACTCATTGAACCAGGAACCGTCTTTAGACTCGCAGAGTTCCGTGTTAACAACTCGCCGACTCATCGAACCGAGAACCGTCTTATTCGAATATATTCGACTCAGAAGGATCCAGGTTAACAACTCTCTATTGTTATAGAAATTGACAATAATAAACAACAATATGTACATTTGGCTTTATTGGAACGTTTTAAGCGTGTAGTGTAGTAGGCTATACCACTATAATAATATAAAAGAATCGCTGAATTGTTTATTGAGTCAGTTAGATTAGTCAGCACCTGGAAAGAGGATTTTGAGAAACAGCCACTGTTTTAGTGAATGTCTATATTAGTACCAAATGCAAGATACTGAACAAACATGTTATGTTGCATGTTGGTTCAGATGTTCATATTTTCAAACGGAATGAACTGAAGCTACAAAGGTGGTGGTTATATTTGGTCACATTTCCATCCACCAGCACAGTTATTATGAGTCACCGCTGACAGCTAGACAATATTTATGGGGAGTCTAGACAAGTATTTATTTATAGCAGTCTCTCTTGACATTGTTTGCCTGAAACTATTTAATAAACAGAAAATGACACATTTGAAAGCTCATTTCTCTGTGGGAGAGTGGAGTGTGCCTCTGCTATGTTTCTTTTATACCAGACAGACAAACCTAATTTAGTATGATTTTTTCCCCATTAAGTTCAGCTGAGCATAAAGATGCTTTAGGGCTTGAGATCCAGCACTAACAGGGCTCATCTGCTACTTCCGTAAGAAATGTTCCTCACCCGAAGTTCCCTTGCCAGGCCAGCTGTACTCAGCTCGACTAATACTACACAACAGCGGATCAGATCACGCAACCTGCAGAGCCTCTTAAGCCACTCAAGGCGTTTTGTTTTCTTAATTACACATGCTCCTCTTTCAGTCCTCTAGACTGTAGACTGTACTGAAGCACCTTTACCGCTGTGCAAGAGAACACATTTTGGTTGAAAGTTAAATGGTGATCTTCTGATTTATTTGAGTCACTTTTACATTTTACTACTTTGCATTATAACAACAACAATAATAATTGTAGTTATTCTAAGTTATATCTGCAGATATATAATAATAATAATAATAATAACAACAACAATACTACTATTACTACTACTACTACTACTAATAATAATAATAATTATTATTATGAAAAGTTGTTTTGAAATCTAAATGACTGTAGGAGAAATAAACGTATGTTTTTTTTTGTCTGAAACTCATGGCCAAATAAACGATAATAATAATAATAATAATTAGTAATTATGTTATTTTACATTATATATGTTTATGTATGTATAATAAGCATTATTAATAATATAATGCAAAGCTGTTCTGCAATTTAAATGATTGTAAGAAAAATAAATACGTTTTTGTTGTCCGGAACTCATTGTCAAATAGACTATAATAATAATAATAATAATAATACGTTGTTTTGCAATCTAAATAAAATAAAATAAATATATAATAATATATAATAAATAATAATAAAATGTAGTAATAATAATAATTGTTGTTATTATTATTATTTATATTATTATTACTACTACTACTATACAGTTATTTTGTGGTTAATAATAATAAATAATAATGATGATAATAATAATGATAATAATATTATTATTATTATTGTAAAAATTGTGAAAAGTTGTTTTGCAATCTAAATGACTGTAAGAAAAAAATGTAAATGTAGTAATGAAATAATAATAATAATAAATAGTATTATTATTTATGTTATTTTAAATGATATATTATATATTTTACATTATATATATTTATAATAATCATTATTAATTCTAATATTATAATCTTAAGTTTTTCTGACATTTAAATGATCCTAAGGAAAAAAAAATTGGGTCTGAAACTCATGGCCAAACGGACTGCTTCAGATTATTTGTTGGTCCTTTTGCGTATTGAGCTGTCCTCAGTATATCCAGTAAGTGTTCCAGTCACCCTGTTCTAGTTACCCTGTAATATCTCAACAGATGAGAAGCAGTTGACTTCTGGAATTTAGCTAATTAAGCAGCTGTAACTCGCCTGGTAACTCAACTAGTTTTATAAACTCTTTTGGTGGAGCTCAAATTGTCGTTAAAAGACACAAATGCATTCCAGAAAGCCTCCCCTCGCCTCAAGGTCAGAGTTTACACCACTAACCTGTAATACAGAGCTATTGCCAGCTGGCTTAAGGTGAATGATGTCTCCATGTCTACACCAAAGGGCCAAGTTTGCAGGATTCGGATGTCTGCCAACCAGCTTTGGAAAGTCACCTTCCATTCTCTTGGCTCAGTTTATTCCTTTCAAGTTGTTCATTCCTTTAATGTTTGCTGGACTGGATTTCAGTAAATAATTGGAGCTGCCAGTGAAGGCCAGGCTGAACTAGTGATGTCTGCTCAAGTTAGAAAATGAAATATATACTCTGATTGATGTGGTGTATTCTTAGGACTGCAAGACAATGGTGGTGAATGTAGATTTTGTGATGAAACACTTTGTACTGCATGCCTGAGGCAGTGCGGTTCAAATGGTTTTATTTGCCCATCGTCCTAAGAATGCTGGCAAACCTCTCATGACCTATCTTGTGTAAAAAAGCAAGAATGATTTGAAGGACATTAATTCGGATTCATTCATTATGTAGCTTTTTTTTCAGTCATGTCACCCTCCCACTTGTAGAATAACATGATGGCAAGATGACAATAGTGATGAAAGAGTACTGACACAGAATGTGGGAACACTGTGTTTCAACATCCCTCTACCAACTCTTTATTTTCTGCCTCTGCGTATATGTGGTCTCAAAGAACTTTTATTACAAAGAACTGGGGAGTTGCAGCCTTGTAGATAGGATATTTTTGGCATCCTTTGAAAAGATGCTGTTTGGTATAGTCACAACAACTGACAAGAAACTACGACTACTTTTTTGTATGTCCTTGAACAAATCGCCTTAGAGATGATAGTAATGTTTAATATTGTTTTTAAGCAAAAGTGTGTGAATTTATATAAATTAATTATGTATACAATATATTTTTATATAAATGTAATATAAATAGAAAATGCTTACCAAAATTGCAATTTATTTTATTAAAATCAGTATTGTGAAATATTAATACAATTTTAAAGAACTGATTTCTATTTTAATATAATATAAATTGTAATTTATTCCTGTGATGCAAAGCCGAATTTTCAGCATCATAACTACAGTCTGCAGTGTCACATGATCCTTCAGAAATCATTAAAATATGCTATTTTGGTGCTCAAGAAAGATTTCTTATTATCAATGTTGAAAATGGTTATGATGCTTAATATTTTTCTTTTAGGATTCAGAATAGAACAGCCTTTATTTGAAATAGAAACTATTCATTCTTGAAGTCATTTTTTATCTATCTCTCTCTCTCTCTCTCTCTCTCTCTCTCTCTCTATATATATATATATATATATATATAATATAAATGTTTTGTCCCTTTCTCTGTGCCAGAAGAAAAATACTTATTTTTGAACCCTGCACCAGACCGACTGATATTCTTAGGCAATGCAATCTAGGTCTTTCCAACTGTTTATGTTTTTGGTTCTAAAGAAAAATGAGTCAAGGTTTGCAAACCTATCATCATGAATGCTTTCCTGGGGCTTTTAAAAGCTACATTTAAGGATTTCTTTGTAAGTTAGAACTGCGTAATGTGCCTCTGCCGCTCATAAGCAACGTGACTGCTAGTCGTTTTGCATCTTAAACGTCCATTTTGTGCATAATTCAATTTAGAACCTTTTCTCAGAGTGCGAGTGTTTTCATGGAGGCCTCATTACGGGTCGCAAAAAAAGCATCCACAGATTTAATGTCTGCAGTGGAGGCCCCAAAGCTAAGCTATTTTTCTAATAGAAAGAAATACTTTTATGCAGAGTATCAGGTCAAAATCACAATGGTGTACATGGGGCCCTGAGGACAGGATAAATGAGACTCGTCTCGAGTCATTTTCCCCTGGTGATAAGACCATGGTAGACCATGGTAGTCTCATGGACTGAAGGGTGGGAGAAGAGCCTCATATAAACACTGATGCTTCGGTTGAATATTTATCACCCTACATCCGAGTACATTCCTACATCTTAATTTTTTATTTATTTTATTTTTATTATATTTATCTATAGCACACCTGTACATACAATTTATTCTTTTTTTGTGGTTTATTTATATTTATGTATGTGCATTTTATTCACATCTTATTTTTATTATCTGTGTACTGGAAGCTTGTTACACTAAAACAAATC